AAATATAGTATAAAATTTGAAAGTTTACCTGATTTAGATCAGCAAATCTGTTCACAGATTAAGGTTAAGAATCTGATCAAGACATTTTTATACTTACTGCTACATTTCAGTCAGAAGTACTGAAAACGTATTGAGCCCTAATACTGTATACTTCCTATTATTAGTACTAATACTATCACTCGAGCATCAATAAAAGGGAGTGTTTGCACTATATACCTTGGACACCTACCGTGAGGATGACTCATTCTCTTTACTCCAACTGAAGTTTTCTTGTTGTGATTCTGTCCTGGGGGAAGGAAAGCCCCTTATCTGCGTACACTCTCCTTTTCCATCATTTCACTCTATCTCTCCATCCTCAGACGACACTGAGCAGCTTATTGAACACAGATGATGAATGGGTGTGGATTGATGGCAGATAGCAGGCCGCCGCTAATTGACACCGCTGTATCACTTCATCTCCCGTCTTTGTATTCTCCTCCTCCTCCTTCTTTTCTTTTCGAAGCACAGCAATCCATTACGGTTCAGATTAGTCGCTCTTAAGGAGCCGTATTGCCCCTGCATGATCCATTGTAATGAAATATACTCCACAGGAGATTGCTCAAGGGCTCTTTTCAAGGGTATTGTTTTTTGGAGGCATTGATCGCGTTGTTTGTGGTTGAGTTATGGAAGAGCACAAGTTCTTAAGTCTCTTTTAGTTGTTGGCATAGTGCTTTGATGTTATTTAATGTAATGTAGCAAAAGTAGCTATAAAATTGTCTTTGTTACAAGTACAGGCACACTCCAAGCCTAATTCATACAGGAGTTAGCCATTGTAGCGGTCTTCTTTGTCTAGGACCTGATCAGAAAGGTGAGATCTTCCTAATAGTGCTAGTCAAAGTCAACCACACCGGACTGGATAAAGTGCAGGTTGTACAAACCCTTAGGCCTTCTTGAGAGCTAAATCCCTGCTTGTTTGACACCTCAGCCTCAAAACAGAAGTGATTTAACTGGCAAAGCTCTCGCAAGCTCTTTTCTCCTCATCAGAAGTGGGGTCCGGCTCTTAGCAGGGCTTTTTAGGCTAGGAATGGCAAGGAGACAAACACTCTTGTCGCTTTGTTATTTACTTGGGCCCAGGAACCCTAAGGTGTGTATTATTCTCTGGATAAACCTGATCCTTAACAGATAGCTTGCCTTGGCTTCCAGGTGCTCTTAATGTGTTTTCATCCTCTTTATCCCGGTTTGACTCTAGCTGACACACACTTTCACATCTTCATGGCACGCTGTTCACTAATTGTTCAGTGGAACAGGTTCCTTCAAATGCTCTGCACAAGGGATCCTCTGGTGTTTTTTTTGGATCCAGCTGGTTGGGACGTTTAGCCTGCAACCGTAAGATCATGAGCTCACCTATCCAACCTTGAGGTTTCCACTATTCTACTGGCTAATACAAACCACTTCAGCAAGATTTGCATGTACTCGAACCCCCTCCCTTCCCACGTTCTCTCTCCTACCCTTCTGCCACTTACTCATTCATCTCTCTGAGGTCAGCCATTAACTCACTGCGCTTCACTTCTCCCGCCCTTGACTAAAGGGTATGCTTTCCTGAGTCTCCTCGACTCAGAATCAGCTTCGTATTCCCCCGGGACCATCAGACAGCCGTGCTAGCCCATGGCCAGACGGCTTTTAATCATTTATTTAGGGCCTGTAATGTCGAGTTCAACTCCACTCTCTCCCTTAGTGCTCTCAGAAACGAGAAGGAGTGAGCAAGGAAAGTGAACGAGAGACACCGCATTAAGCTTGGATCAAGAAGCCAGTTTGTCAGCGAGCCTCTAAGGATCCCTCCTTCCTCTCTGTCCACTGTGTTTTAAACTAGTGAAGGGTGGTGCTTTTATAACATATAGCTGTTTTGGCGGCATATCCTCTGGGTTCATCCAGTGAGCCTTCAAAGGAATGAAACATCATAGGAATGCAGTTAATTTGTCAAGATTGCATTAGCAGGGAGCCGAAGAGGTGGAATATACACTGTGATTATCCTTACTTAGTAAAGAAAAGCTTATACACACAGTATGCCTCATCCTGTACAAAATGAAAGAGATAAAATCCTGCCATTGAAGGTCTAATGGACTGTTGTGTTTCTTTAACACTATTCAGTTGTTTCTTTATGGAGTGTTCACAAAGAGACACAACGCTAAGAAGAAATGCATCACTGTATTTCAATGGAACAATGTGACTTGTAGTAATGTGACCTGGCTGCAACAGTTCCACTTTAGTCCCCACCTGTCAAATTGCAGCGAGCAGCCAATGAGTGACAGCAGACCTGGAATAACTACGTATATTCCAACATACCTTGCATTTTCAGTGAGCCTTGCCTTTCTGTGTCTTAGGCCTTATTTTGGTTGATAAATTCATCTTTAATTCTCCATGTGGCATTAAAAACAGTGTACATTTTTACACACGCAGAGACTTTGCAAATAAAGTATTACCCATTGTTTTCAGCACTGGGTGCCAACAGGTCTACTTCGCATTTATAATTAAACAGAACAAGGATGTTGATTGGAGGCAACTAATCAGCACTGACCTTTTCTGAATACCATTAGAAGGCCTTTCCCAGCAGAGCCGTGCTGTTTAGCCTGAGGTCAGTTATAAAAAATATCTTTTTCCTCAGCTCAGCAGTGCTTGTGTGTAAATAAATGTGTCTCTTTCTATGCAGCAGATAGCCTCCCCAGTCATTAACCCCGATAATGGGACTTTGGAACCTTTCTCCAAGTATAATGACCTAACTCAGAGTGCTAATTGACTCTAAGTTACTAGATAGAGTGGAGCAGGTAAATGGGGAAAGTTTTAATTTGCTTTGTGTTGAACAAGGATATGCATACACCCAATACAAGGGCCCAGGCCCTTTTCCCAGCAGGGACATGGAGGCTGGAGGGTTGTGGGATTAGAGAAAAAGATAAAAAGTGCAAACTTTTGACTGATCAGCAAGAAGGACTGGAGATCAATGAGGACTGTGTGGGGCTTTGAAGCCTGAGAGGAGTTGGCCAATCAATCGAGAACTGCTCACTTGTTAGTGTCTTCCAAGACGCGAAGAAAACAAGCACTCCCTCCCACCATAAGGCGTCGCTTGTAGTGTTTCAGCAAAACACAGTGGAGAACAACTCTGAAACTTTTCCTCCTGCTCTCTACTTGGCCTTCACTCCGTCTCTCCCTCCAGCTTGGTGTAATTGGTCGGGCAAAATAGTTTTCTACGTGAGGTGAATAGTTATAGATAATAAAGCTTTGATCTTTTATTTTTGGATTAAGTTTAATGGGGGTCAAAAAGTGTAAGCTAAAAACTGCATTTAGAACATTAATTGGTTGGTTTTTTGTCACATTTATAAATAAAATGACATTTACCCAGCACAATTAAAGGAATAGGAAGTGCACACAATAGTAATGGTATGTCAGACACCTTGAAAAAACCCTTAGGGTCTGTTACAGCAATCTGGAATAAGTATGTAAGTAGGTATACAATTCCTTGCTTCTTCTTTTTACCCATTAAAAGAAAACTGTCATACTCCAACTCTGTCCCTCTCTGTCCTCCCTATTACTTTCGATTTCCTCTCCCTCTCTTGGCTCCGGGCTGTTTTGGTTATCAATGATTGCCTCAAATGCTTTCCTTCCCCTCTCCATCACGAGAGCTGTAATTCTGTCACACTCATGCACAGCAGCAGGTCACGCCAGGGCGTTGCAACTCCGACCACTGACTTCATATCATATTCCATCAGCAGGAAATGCAGCGGGAAGCACATATTTCTCACACATTCACACAGGGTCAGGTGGGGTATGAGGGACTCTATACTCACTTTCATCCTTAGCCCATGGACACTTTTTTCCCTCAAATCCATGGCCTCCCAATGAAATATGAATCAAAAACAGTCCTCCAGGCTTTTGCTTGCCTTGAAAAAAGCTTTAACTCAATTTGAAGTCTCAAGAGGTGAGGAGTTGGTAGCTACCCTGCATTGCAGTGTTTGGATATAATATCAGGGCCAAATAAATAATGGACTGTCAGGACTAGAAACAAACTATAATAGTACCTTTTTTGTGTTTTTTTTTATAATACTATATAGCGATTGTCAACAGTGTGTGTGCTTACATATGTATTATTTGGAGTGCTGGTTTAAGCTGTTTTGTGGAAGCTAGTCTTGTTACATTTGAGTGTTTTTTTATTTTTTCATTTGCATATCTTTAACCTATTCATACTGTATACTACTTTGTCATGTGCAGATATTATAGCAATCAATGATTTAAATAACATTTGTACTGAATGTCATTGAACCATATCTGGGGTTTTCACATAATTGTCTAGTATCAATGTTCTGTAATGATGGGCCTCTTAGTGGTTCTTACAGTGCCTGGATTGAGAGTACCAAGTATATTTTATCCAAATTGTATCATTCTTTTTGAAAAATGGAACATGTTACACTGTGCAAGCAAGTCTGAATGACGCTTAAATAATTAGTACGTTATCTACTTGGATGGACTGAGTATATTTGACAAAGAGAGTCAGTAAACATTGATAATGTATTTTAAAAATATTGCCAATTTTTAAATGACATTTGTTTTATTACAAGTATTATTATGTTTGCGGTGATTTTATTCTGCACATTTCATCAGAAACACCTTTCATTCATCTCCTCGTCTCAGTATATTTTAGTGCTGTTATTTTATTCACATTATTATTCATGTACTGTGTTTCACACTTTCCATCTCTAGTTGATGCTTGAGTGTCGCATTGCAAATTGCGGGTGGCATTATATTTAATACCCTTCATTTGCAATGTTCTTATTTATGCTCTATTTTTCTCTGCTGGATTCTAATATAATTTGTTATTGCAGTGGCCCAATTAAAGTTTCATCTTGTCGTATATCTTATGGAAGATTACCTGGATGTTGTGCTGTTTTTCGCTACGCTGTCTAACAACAAATATGAAAATCTATCCGTTAACTCCTGATTGTCTAACTTCTCTTTTTTCCCTGTCTGTGCAGGAGCAGAGCCCCAGTAACGCCACATCCCTGGCTATGATGCAGGAGCCGCAGGAGGTGGTGGAAGAGACGGTCACCATAGAGGAGGACCCCGGCACCCCCACCTCCCACGTCTCGGTGGTCACCTCTGATGATGGCACCACACGGCGCACAGAAACCAAGGTAAGACACCACAGTGCACTCAGCTGAGTTACACCCTACAAGCAGAGGTTGGCGCTGATTCTGTAAACTGAGTGATGGAAATACAGATAAATACCAGAAAAAGAGTTATATTTACATTTGTTGATTTTCAAACATACTGTACTCTTTGGGTGTTGATTATCAAGTATATTCATACCATTGTGATGTTAGATTCTGTTTGAAATGCTACTAGGCAAAATTTATATAATCTACTGTACAGAGCTGATATCCAGCTTGGTACCGACTATCTCACGTGAGCAGGACACCTTAGAGCAGTTGCACTGTCGTGGCAAAGAGATCCTGTTGAGCTCATAGCAGCAAAGAAAACCCCCAAAAGTCACTTTGATCCATTTCAATATTGCTCCAAATAATGCTTATGGATTACCACTTCCAAAAATCACAGCACTGTACCTCCACTCCCAGACTTCCACCCTGAAAAACTCTAAATCCCATAATCCTACAGCCCAAAGTGGTTTCATCTCCCTCTCATGGCATTATTTATTTAATTATTTTGTTATTATGAGCCAGCTCCCTTTGTGTTCTCCTAGTTTTGTGCTTCTTAAAAGCTCTTTTGTTGATTCGTCCTCTACTGTGTTCTGTTGTTTTTCTGTAAGGACTTGTCAACTAACGTGAAGGTGAGTGGACCTTTATACCAGTATGGCTTTTCCCACCACGCCACCATTTTATGTGTGCCCATACAGGCTACAGCAGCAGTATGCAACACAGTCTGCTTCATCACAAGCCAAATAATACCGCAGTCTGTACTCTAAAGTACTTCTCAGTTCACTGCTTTTTGCTTTCACCTTCTGGGATAAGACCCATTCTCTTCTTTATTATTACTTTTGCATGGTCTTCTGTCTCTCTTTTCTCTTACTTTATTTCTCTCTTATAAATTCTATCTTACAACATCCCTCATTGACATTACGGGCGGTACAAAATACCACTGCTCAGCAGCAGAAACTCGTTATACATCCCCATACATAGGATTGTTGATATGAGGGAGGAAGTGTCTTTACTTGGTAACTAGAATCTTGCAATTACATCCTGAGGGCACACCATAAAACCCTGTGTCAGGACTCAGAAATTATAATTTCAATGACTTTTTAAAATGTGTTACTGATTAAGATTTGGTTTTTGCCAACTGTAGCCTTGGATTAGCTGCGTTTTTATTTTTGAATGGTATGAATTACCATTTTTTAATACATTTTGCACATTGGCTCCCCAAAGTGATTTGCTACCATTTTGAAGACCCCAATACAGAAAAATGCTGTTGCTGAAACCAGAATGTATCGGGTTGGGAATTCGAAAGATTGTGTGCCTGTTTATTGTTTTGGGTGACAGTCTGCCTTTCACTTTTAAGTTTTAATTCATCACCATGGAAAAGAGTTCCCACCAGAATCCACACCAGATTTCCATTTGAAAAAATCCAGTATATTTACGACATCTTAGAAGTGAGGTGGGGGTTGGAAGTTCTTCCCTTTTGCTTCCGCATTTTAAAAAATACCCTCAAAGATGAGCTTATATTGCGGGATTCGGATGTAAACGTAGCTACAGTCAGCTGCTGCTGCTGTAGACTTCCAGAGGAGAGGAGAGTGCTGTGTGGAGCTCCTACCCTAGGGACTGTGAAACTGTAATTAAAAAGCTTGGTCTAATCCCTCATCAGGGAGGGCCCATTGCCCTCCAGCCTGTTTACTGCGAGGGGATTGGCCACACACACTCACTCACATGATTTTAGGCATTCATACTGTACACAGAACTTCTTCTTAGGGAAGTGCAGTAAAACATCACACTAATCAAGGGCTTTGCTACTGAGGAAGGGAATAGGAAGGACACTCCTTTAAAGGGTCTGCACCCTGCTGGGAGGAGGGATCGGGTGTTTTCTGGAAGTGACTTTGGGGAGAAAAGCAGATTAATGTTCAGGGTGAACTTCTGAAAGCCAACGTCTCGGCGGTGGCAAATGGAACCAGGCCCATCCGAGAGTTTACTTGAAGAAACCCCTCTGCTTGTCTTCCTCACTTTCCCTCCGTCTTCTTTTCCTCTCCGCATCTCCTCTCCCTGGCTCACTTTCATGGGTTGTTTTTCACCATCTCTCCTTTTTCTATCTCTCTCTTCATTTCGCAGCAACTCACAGTTTTATTTATGTGCTTATCTGTTCTTTTGAACCAGTCTTGCCATACTGTCTAATGCTAACACACTCCTTTCCCTTGATGGTTATCCCCCATCTGACTGCTGGAAGATGAAACACAGAAGCTTCTCCCATCTTCCTGATTTGCAGGCAAAAAAGTTTTTCTGGTGGTAAACATGTTTCTAGCTGATTTAGTATCAGCGATATTACTAGTTAGAGAAACAGAAAAAATGGCACCAAGATGGAGCTACTGTCTATGAGAGAAAGTCAGGGTTTCAGCTGACAAATTTCTACAGTTTTCATGTACATAAAATCTATGGGCTTTTTGATTGCAGATTAGCTGCTGGTTCTATTTGCAGTCAGTTCAACTTATAGTGAACTGGCCTGGACTCTAAATGTGTGTACAAGTCTGAGCACACGTACGCGCTCAATTAGAACCGTGTCCGTCCTCCGGTCCCAGCATGCAGAGCTTTCCCTTGGCCATCATCCAGCCCTCTTTTCCTGCTGGCAGACACTCTGGATGGAAGACCAGTCATGTAGGAGGAAGAGCTCAGTTGGGCCAATAAAAGCGGAATTCCTCCTCTTTTCCTCTGGATATGAGCTAATGAGAGTTGAGGCAGACCACGCAAACAAATAAAAGCACTTTCACTACCCTGCACACAGTGGGGAGTCAACCTTGAATAGGTAGGGAATAGTTTATCAGGTACAGCAGTTGTGAAAAATGAAGTGTCACTGTTGAATAGAGCAGAATGTAGAACAGACACCTTTTCTACTCAGAGTGCATTACTTTCCTTTTATTTCAAACAGACTCTTTCAACTTCAGCAAGTACTACTAAAAAAAGTTACTGGGGCACAGCAAGAACACCATTCTCTCTCAAACTGCATGTAGCTTAAACGTGGGCAAGGTTGTGGCATTTTCCAGCCATGTGCATTACAGAGCTAAAATAACAGGGTGGATGTACATGCATAATGACGTCTAATAGAGTTTACTGAGAGCTCTACACACCCATCCCTCCAACTCTAGGTGACCAAAGTGGTCAAAACCATCACCCGCCGCACCTACCACCCACTGATGGTGACTAACAACTTGTTAGTGGAGTCCAGGCCTGCCACCCGGACCCCCACCCCGGTCTCCATTTCAACCCCCACCCCGTTGGAGACAGACCCAGTAAAGGACGCCGAACCCTGTGTGATTTTTGCTGTGTACTCACCTTCCCCTGCCTGCCTCCCTGTTCCTCTAACCCGTTCCTCATCGTGTTTTAAAGAGGCCCACATTCAGCCACTTAAGACTTTTTAACATTGTGGAGAAACTAGCAATTTCTACTTCCGTCGTCTTCGCAGATGCTCTTTAGATGGGCTGGAAATGAATCACAGGCTTCACTATCATGGGCTTCTTAAAGATCTGAATTACTACCTCTTCCTCTCCTGATAACCCCCCGGCCACCATGTCCATTTAAGCTCTCAATAAAGTGAATGCTGCAGAGGTTGTGAAACCTCTTACAGTGCTGTAAAGAGAACAGTTTGACGCCTGCCGCCTTCCCCTCTATTTTTAACAGTTATGATAAACAGTTAAAGCCTCTGTCTAACTGCTTGTGGTTGTTGCATACACTTTTCAATACAGCCGTGACTTTCCAAGCACTCACACATACAAATCTATAGTATTTCACACGTGCATATGCTCTCACACTCCACCATTTTAGCTATTCTCTTTTAGCCCTGTTTACCCCACTTCAGCATATTTCAGACACCCTTTTTGAAACGCAGGTCCCCCACCTCCCCCGTTTCCCCGTGTGCGACGGTTTAACGCCCTGTGAACTTAAGCGTACATCAAAGAGTGTTTGAAAACTGTGTGATGGCTCCCTTTGCAACCCTTGCAAATCGCCTAAAAAGCTGTGTTAGTACAAGGCAGCTGGGTATGTCAGGGCTGGGAAGCTGTAGCATTCAGTGTGCTCAGCTCTTATAGCCAGAATAGAATAGATAGAATAAAATATGGTGATAAATAAGAGGTGATAAAATTACCAAATATGAATAAAAACGTTGTGACATTATCCTCCATCTGGAAGGCTTAGGCTCCCTTGTGGAACCACATCGCTCAGGAAAATCAATAAAGCCTGTCTAAAACAAAGTAAAATTGTTATTTAATAAATGACATTTATTATATTGACATAAACGCTTCACGCAGGATGTGACATTCAGCTCTGGCCCCTGTAGTCCCCTTGAGGCGACGGTATGAACACCACAACAGCCTAGTTTGGGTTCTGTCATGGCTTACTACCGTGAATCAAGATGATGGAAGTGAGCTTGTTATTCCAAGGTCATACATATGCTTTAGCTAATGTGAATCAAGCAAATGAGCTCTTTATTTTTAACTGCACAAAGCCAAGGCGGACTGGCATCAGAAACACACGTAAATTAATCAGTAATTACTCTGAACATGGAAATGAACCTTGGCGTTCCTGAAATAGGCTTTGTTATGTAGCTCACAGTCAGGGTGTAATCAAGAAACAAGGCCAGCGAAGATTTCTATTTGTTTCAACCAAGTTAATGAGGATGCCGTGTTGAACAACCGATTTGTTGTTTATGCTTTTACTCTTGGCACCCTCTTCTGTTGCGAGGGTTAATGCTTCGTTGTGGTTTCTTGATTTTGTTGCATGCCTTTGCTTGCCTCTGATTAAAATCTAAATTATGGCATTGATGGGAAAATAAAGAAAGCATATTACAATTAAGGGGGCTGCTCTCGAAATTAAACCCATCAGATGAAAGAATGAAGAGTTTTTTGTTTTTTTCTTTCCCTAAGAAATTCAGACCTGCAGTCCACACTCGTCAAGTGGGAATGAACCTCTCTACAACACCTTGTCAGGCACAACACGAATTGCATCAGACCTGCACCCCTGCAGATGACTATTAATTTTCATCAACCTCATTAATTTTGAAGATGAATTTATAGCTGCGGACAAAATAGCCAATTATCGGCCACAGCAGAATTCACTGGGCAGCAAATTGGTTTCTGTATGGGTGGAGAGCCCAGGGAGGGAGGGAGGGAGGGAGAGAGAGGGGTTGCTGTCTATAATTCTCCTATCAGACTGCCTCACAGACAGCAGAGGAAGTAGAGTTGTTTAGCTATAGGATGAGGTGAGCGTGAGAGATAGATACATGCAGGTCTGGTTGTCACAGTCCTCCAGCTACAGTGGGATGCTACCCTGCTCCCTTGGGGACAAAGAGGATTCAAGGTCCAGTGCACTTCAAGATGGCTCTGTTACAGTACAATCCTGGAGACTCAGTCGACCAAGACACTCACTGTGTATAAGGAACATTGTGGGTTTAGATTTGGCTGACAGTATTTGTCTTGTAACAGATTATTATGTGTGCTGACTTTTTCCACTTTATAAGGCAACATTTATAATTTAAGGCAACACTAGTTGGTGACACAGGTATTACAATTGGATATTGGATTTTATGAAACATCATTTTCTGTCATTATAATACACAACAGTACTCCCCAGGGTTGAATTGAGTGAAATAACTCCAAAGTTGATTGAATTAACAAAAATGGATGAGTTTTCCTCTGCTTTAGGTGTGAAATGCATGTTGTCCCTAATCTTGACACAAAGACACAAACATGAAATGTTTGCTTTATTATCATTCTGTTATGTCGTGCCACACTTTCTGACAGGTGTCTCTGTTCCCCTCTACAGGTGACTAAGATGGTGAAGACGGTGACCACACGGACGGTACGTCAGGTGCCCCTGGGCCCAGATGGCTTGCCCCTGCCTGAGGGCTCGTCCCCACTAGGCAGCTACACCGACTCCATCGACCGGCGCTACATGAAAAACGGAGGTGACCGCTTCATCACACCTCAAGCAACCTCCACTCTGACGCGGTCCTACAACAACTCCTACAACGATTCATATGGCGAGACGCCTGAGAGCCAGTACGTTCGCCACTACGGCCTGCACGATGGCTACGCCGATTTGACAGACAACTACGGCAGCCTGTCGCGCGGCGTCAACTTCCGGCCACCGCGCTACCCCTTCCTGCCCAACAGCTACCGACCAGAGAACAGCTACACGTTGCCTATTCGTAAGGATGACTATGGCCACGTGGCCCAGCCCCAGGTGCCTATGGGTAGTAGCACTGTGGATCTGAACCGCTCACAGCCAGAGCGCTTCCAGCCCGAGCCATATGGCCTGGAGGATGATCGCCGCAGCTTGGGCCCTGAAGAGGAGGAGCCATATGAGCTGGAGCCCGACTACTCCACTGCCAACCGACGCACCCTGCAGGGGGCCAATCGGGGTCGCACCCACCGGGAACCCCTTCGTGACGGGCCTCGAGTCAGGTGAGGATAAATGCAAAAACCTTAACCTTAAAGTAGAGGATTGCTTTTAAACAGCAACACATGATCTGATATTCTACCTCAGAGCAATGATATTACACATATAATTCTGCAGTTGTTTTTATACATCAGTACCTGGTGTTAATACTTAAGTACCTGACAGGAGCTTGCGGGAGATAATGGTTTCATGAAGGTGTGCAAGTTCATACAGTATACATGTTTTTCTTTTTATGTTGGACAGTGAGTTCTTGTTTATATGCATGAGCACAGACTTTGCCTTGACACGAGAGTAGATCAGGCCTGTTAGGATGAGAGAGAATAAGGAATACTTGTCTTGTTCTCGCCATAAAAAAGACTACATTACACCGTGAGCAAGTAAACAGATGTCTCTTCTCCTTGAGCAACTTGCTTGAGAAGGGAAAGTGAAGAAAACAAGTCTTTGATTGCCATTTTCCTGCAAATGGATAGCGAACAAGTGTTTGTGTCAGAGGTAAAGAGGCGGGAATGATTTGAGACGTGAAGAGGGAGGGAACGGAGGATAGAACCTCTCAAACCTTTTCCTTTTTTGTGCAACCTTTATTGAGAGGAATATAACCCCTGGCTCCAGTGGGCTGAAAATAAAAAAGCCAGTTAACCTCCAACAATAAGATCCCAAAATGGACTCGTCTCCTAATAGCTACCAATCATCTCACTGCAGCCCAAAGGGGGGGCTTTGAAAAAATGTCCTCCCTCAAGTTAATTGAAGCAGGGGTCTGAAGTTGAGTTGGTGGGAAGTGTGTTTTAAAGACTTCTTTTCAAGCAGTGATCTGTAGCAGATGGATATTTTTAAGTTCTCTGCACTTTTCTGCCAATCTGAAGGCAAAATATTTGGGCCCGAAGCCCGATGTAAAGGAATAGAGCTAAGTGGGATGAGAAGCAGGAAACAGCAAGACAGAAAAGATTGTGTATGTGTGTCAAAGGTGACGCTGAATCTAGGTTTCCGGGTTTCTTGACAGATTTGGACCCTTCTTGATTAAGCTTATGTACACACACACACCCATGCACTCGCAAAGACCCATGCATTGATGTGCTTAAGGCACGAAAGAGCAGATGCCTAATCAGACTGTGTGGTTTTACACGCTTTTGACTTCAGTCTGACACTTAGACAGTATCTCTCTTTCTCACACACACACACATACACACACACACACACACACACACAGTCAATAAAAATCCACATCTTCAGAAAATGAGTCACTCCCCCATCCGCCTAGTGAGAGGCGCTTGCTGTGACAGGCAATTTGTAGCCTGCCTTACATGTGTCACAACACAGCCCCAACAGCCACATACACCCCTTCAGACACACACACACACACACACACACACAAACGCACAGACGCACAAACATGCACACACTGACAGCTGCTAACATGAATGCCCCAACACAAACACAAACGTTTGAAGCCACTCTTGAGTGACTGCTGCCTGGCTAATTGCAGCAGAAAAGAAACTCCAAATTTTCTTTTTTGTTTCTCCTGCACTCACATGAGCTGACATCAAAACACCATAACATCAGTATACCATAAGCGTTTTCTCTCTCTAAGGAACAGTGACAATCAGCCCTCCCAGAATGCCCAGGCTCCCCTGTGCACTCACATTGTGATTAGTATTCCTTCATGAAGGGAGCGACGACTCCAAAGTGCTGTAATGAATCTGGGAATTAAAGCGGTTTAATTACAGCTTATCATTCTCAGTAACGCTTTGACGAAAATGAAGATGTTTAGTGCTAAATCAGCTTCGTGCATCAGTACCGAGCGCTCATTTTGTCTCCGCCCTTGAGTCCATCATGTGTTGGGAATGATAATGTATCATTTCCTGATGGAGTTCCTTGGATGTGTGAGCATGCTTTACTCTTAGACTTTAGCATTACCATAGCTCTAATGTACAGATGGCTGTTGAATTAAAATATCAAACTGAATAAATGAGTGGAGACACATACCAAATGCAGAGGCTTCCATATGCGTCACAAGGGGTCACTGCATGCTTTGATGAGTATGAAAAGGATGTGAATCATATGCTTTTTGCAATGTGTCACACAGGGTTCTCTACCAAAACACCAAATGGGGGAAGATCTTTAGGTGACAATTTCTGATCTTTGTCATGGATCTATAAGCATATGTTACTTCAGTCTCTGCTTGTCTGAGTAGTCTTTATGACCGAAACCTCTTTCAAAATCACTTTGATCTGACGTTGTTGCTGAATCATAATAACGCAGTACACCTACATTGAAGCACCTGCATTTATTATGTATCTTTTCTCATTTAGTCACATTTTTTCCTTTATTGCCTGTCTGTAATAGTCAAGTGCAATTGGAGGTGAGAGGTCATGGAGGTGGTTTTGTTTTAGGGTCCTGCTGAATAACTATGGTGCTAGCAGGGTGTCATTAGCTGAGTTACCAGGCAAGCTGCCACAGGGTGTGTATGAGGCAGTAAGGAAAAGGACCCAAATCCAGACAACCGGGCAGAGGGGAACTATTTTAATAGTAAAATTATGATACATAGGCTTACAGGCAACGGCAGCAAGTCAGGGTTCAGGGTACGGGTTGAGGAGGCATGGATGAGAGTCAGATACAGTTGAGCAGGTGGATGTGGGAGTCAGGTGACCACGATTGATGGGAAAGTCTGAGTGGACAGGTGGAGAACAGCAATAAAGCGTAATAGAGATGCATGGGCCTGGTGAAGAGGGAATGGGTCTGAAGATAGGAACAGAGAGGCATTTTATTTTTATAAAATCCCTGTGAAACTTTGCTTTAAAAAACTGTTAATCAAAAAAGGTTATTATTTACCTCAACAGTATATATATTAGAGGCAGCAAGAATATAGCTACTGAGGGAGGGAGAGAAGGGCATCTCTTTATCCTTTATTTCTGCTCAGGTTTTGCAGTTAATGAACATCTCTCTCTTTCTCTGTCTCTCTCTCTCTCCTGTCCCCTCACCTCACTGTCTGTGTATGACAGTGTGTGTATGCATGCCCACCTTTCTGTGGGGTGTGTGGGTGTGTGTGGGTGTGGGTGTGTGTATGTGTGTCCTAATGCCAGTGTGATTAATAGCTGCTTTTGAACTCTGTCAGACTACAGGGGCGTCTTTAAGCCAATCTCTAATGGCTCATCTCTCCTTGGGCGACCGGTCTGCTGCGCCTGTATCCGGGGGTCACCACACACACATATATACATAGAAACACACACGCATACTCACTTGAGCACACGCACACTCATCCCTTAATTGAGAGGGGGCGTCTCGTTCTAATCCAGCAGTGTCTGTAGGGAAAGGCCTGTGGAAGAGAACAGACAGTAGCCATTGCAGCCCCTACTCCCCCTTCTCCCCCTCGATCCTGCCAAGAGGCTTTCACTGAGAGTTGAACATTCCATTTAATACTATACCCCCCGCCCCAGCATGTTTGAGGTTTCTCAGAAGCATCTCCTTAATTTAGACGGAACTTTGAGCAATGTCACTCTCCTTTAATTGAACGAAAACAAGCAGTGGTGGCAGTGGATAATGGCATCAGAACAGCCTGAGAAATTAGAAAGTAACAAGACGTAAACACTCCAGCTTTGCTGTTTTTTTTCTATTCTTTCTTCAAGACTCTTGTGCATCATAAAACAATTATTGCCCATAATACAAAATGAGCAGTCTGCTCGGCAGGGACAGTCAGTGAACAGCTCATAAACACAGCAGAGATGTTATGTGTACATATGAGATGCAAACATCTTCTTGCGAGTGTGTAATCCTTTTCAGTTGATCTCCTTTTATGGGCCTGCTGAAGAAGAGGGTCAGGCACAGCCGCGATTGAAGGATGATGAAAGTTATTGACAGAAGATGAAGCAATAGCGAGAATGTGTTGAAGTTTGTGGACATGCATATATCTCATATCGGCTCTATCTGTTTATCTTGTCTTCTATTCTTTATGTCTTAGAAGAAAAACAAGCCCACACACACAAACACACACACAATGTATTGACGAGCGCACAGATACACAGAAATAGCCCAGACATTTAGCAGCTCCATTAACATGAGGAGAGTGATCTGCTGTAATCATGCTCGGAGCATCGCGTCTTGCGGCGGAGAGCCCTTTCACATCCTATGAATATACCCCTCCCTGTACACACAATGGCGCCAATTTAAATGCAAATCCTGACATTCCCATCACTCAGCCTCACGACGCCAGCTTTACCAAAAGCCCTGCCGCATCGGCCCAGATCTAAATGAGCCACGATCTATCTGCTCAACTGTACATCTCATCTGTGTGTTGAAGTGTGTGCGAGAAACATAGTGTGACAGATAATGAGAGAGAAAGTCAAAGAGAGAGAGAAATACTGTGCATGAAAGAGCTGGTGTTTATGCATGTAGGTCTATGTGACAGTGATGATGCTGCGATTGTATACTGCCCTTTCTTTGGAGGGTTATTCCTGCCTCCCGTTGCCTTGTCATGTCCAATATCCCGCAGCAATCGAAAGCTGGATGATGTCCACCGAGTGTGGAAGTGAGTGTTTAGATCTCGATGTACGCAAGGAAGCATTTACTAACCGCCAGCACGTGCACACATAGTCACAAATTTCCCTCTTTTTCCATGCAGTCTGTCATGAAGCTCAGTGCTTTCGCCAAACCTCAGAGTTGCCGACCTTCTCCAAATGATGTGCTGTAATCAAGCTCTCAATTGGCCCCTCCTTCCATACTGTGGTTACAGGCTGCTCTCAAAGCTGGAAAACTACTTTTAAAGGAAGAGTAAACCGTGATGAAACGTCATATCCATTCTAGTTTAGGTTAGCTGTGTTCAAGTCAATGTCTTTTTTGTCTGGCAGAACACCTGTTTGAAAAGACATTAGACCTTCAGAGTCACAGCTGTTCTTGACATGTGCCCATGACACCCAAAGCTTGTCCTGCAACTTTTGTCATAACCATTCCACACTGTGGTTCTTGGAACTTGGTTTGTGTTGCTTGCAGCATTTGGACACAAGACCGTACTCGACTGCAGTGGTGCCTCACTCCATCTCTATTAATCCTCTTTCCATCCATCTGAATAGGGGATTTAGTATCTTGTTACATTGTCCATGCAGGAGTCTTCCTCACAGTTCATCTTGTATCGATTTCCCTGGCAGTAAAATGCACAAAGTCGTGCCATAAAAGCCAATATGTTACTGCAAAGCTTGTGTAAAAGAAAAAAAAATCAACACAGGAATACACCAAAGCCAAGGCAAGATGACAAGCAGAGCCCCCCCCCCGCATGCTTGGGAAGAACTGTAAAAACACATAATTAACATAAAACTCATTAAAATTAGAGCTTGGTCTGGAATTTCCTGCCAACCACCAGCGATAGCCGCCATTTTGCTGCACCACCAACCACCATACATCAAAGATGGTGAGAGGAGGCCAACTGGATTATGTAACGAGGATAAACAAGTCTCAAGCTGAGGGGTGGGTGGGGGGATGATAAAGGCTGTGCACAAGTACACAACCCTAATTAAATTCCTTTCCCAATGTCATAACTTTTCCTACCAAATATTCTCCCATCCATGTTTTAAAAAGGAAGCTTTTTTTTTTTTTGTTAAACAAGTTGAAAAGAACAGTCTTTGCAACTTTTCTGTCAGTTTGAAATGTTACTCCCTGGGCTCCATCCTCGGAGTTGGCCCTACAAGTGAAGAATTGTTCCCATGATTAAAGATCTTACAGTGAAATAAGTAGCCTGCACTCCAGCAACAAATGATCTGTCATTGGAATTCCACGCCTATATTTTCACCCATGTTCCGATAGAGAATTGATGAGGCTGCGTTTGGAGTAAAGAACCCTAGAGAACTGACTGTAGATCATAGAGTCTGGGAGGTAATAGAGAATCGTTGAAGGGAACCCCATACACACCCTCGAAAAGCAACTCCCCTCTTCCTCCCCCAGAGGCCACCACTTATTTCCGTCACAGAAAATGAGTAGAGCTCAATAATGTTCAAGTCCCATGCCCTAACAGTAGTAATGCTAATGAGGCTAATGCTAGCAGAGAAGTCCCAGAGAGATTCTCATTAACATTTTAGCAACTGCACGCTAGTGTTCAGCACTGTGAGCAAAGGGAGCCCTGGGGGCATCATAGGGGCTCATAGTCCTCCCTCTGGGGACAGCACAGCTCTTTTCTCAGCTCCCTGGGGGAAAATATATGAAATCCCTTCTCTACTGTATATGGTGGCTTCCTACAAAAAAACTTCATAAGATTTTCCATCAATCCTTTTTCTTTAGTATTGCCTCTGTGTCTTTGTGAACTGCCTGTTTTTACTGCAATCGTTTCCTGTTTCTCAATCACTCTCCCTAAAGCTGCGTTTCCACCACAGGAACTTTCCCCAAGGACTAGAATCCTTTGGCGGCACTCAGTGCATTTCCACCACAAGGACCAGGGTTTAAATTAAGTTCTGAGGACATTATTTTACCCCCCAAAAAGTCCCTGCTCAGAAGGTAGTACTTTCCAAAAGTATAGGAACCTTGGGGGTGTGCACGTTTCTGATTGGTCGAGTACTAGCAGCATTTTATTTCAGCCACCATTTTTAAAACTCTGCAGACTCAAACCAGTTGTTTTTTGTTCATTGTGCTTTGACATATGGACATGGACATGGGCAGAAGAAGACATATGATGGACTACTGAAAGAAACTGTTTCTTGAAAAGTAGTTTGTGTAACTAAAGGTTCTAGGTACACTACTTTGGATGGAAATGTGTCTTAAAACTTCATGCTTGTTGAAGTCTGACATGTTTGTTGCTATCACCTGACAGGGAGGAATAATAAGTATAATGTTGCTTACCATATCACCCTTATCCCCACCGCAGTCCCTCTGACAGACCTGTTAATAACAGATCCAAACCACAGATCACCTTGTCTCTTTTCTTCACTCTCTGTCCTGCACTCCCCCCTTTTTCCTCTCCATCGCCCACAACTTTTCACCTCTCACTCACCCTGTCCTCTGTTTTTCCTTTTCCCCTCATTAGTCAGTGGCATTCACCTCACTTGGCTTCTCCCAAAGTCTTTCCTCCGGCTGCCTAATTCTTCTCTCAGACAAATCTGTCTGAGTCACCCTCCATTTACCTCGTCCATCTCCCTTGTCCTCACCGTCCTCTCTTCTTTCGTCTTCCAGAGGGTACCCAGACGACCCCATTGAGGCAGAGCTGATCGATGAGCGCCACCCTTACATCCACGGCATGTATTCAGCACCACTGGCCCAGCCGGAGAGGGGGAGCATGGCCAGTCTGGACCGCATGGGCGGCCGGCGCTCTCCATCCATTGACAGCATCCGCAAGGACCCGCGCTGGCGTGACCCAGATCTCCCCGAGGTCATCGCCATGCTGGGCCACCCCATTGACCCGGTCAAGTCCAACGCTGCTGCCTACCTGCAGCACCTGTGCTATGAAAATGACAAGATTAAGAAGGATGTGCGTCAGCTGAAGGGGATTCCTGTTCTGGTGGGCCTTCTGGACCATCCCAAATCTGAAGTCCACCGCAAGGCTTGTGGTGCCCTGCGCAACATCTCTTACGGCAAGGACAATGACAACAAGGTGGCCATCAAGAACTGTGACGGCATCCCGGCCCTCGTCCGCCTGCTGAGGAAGACCAATGACATGGAGGTTCGAGAGCTCATCACTGGTAAGAATAAACATTTCTATATTAAACACAAACAAAAGACACAAGAGAATGTGATGAGGTTCAAGCAAAACAATTTACCAAAATGAAACAAGAAAGGGCAACTTTATCCTTTAAACTGCTCATAATAGGATCAGAATTATTCCAAGTACCTTGCAGAGTAGATTGTTTGGAATATGTGCTATGGAATGTCCCTGCCATAGGTAAACAATTCTTATATTATGCAGAAACACCTGTATGGTACTTTTGCAGCCAAGCCTGTTGGCTGTCTTCCTCACTGACTCCAGGATTGCTCTTTCTGTCTGCCTAATTAGTCTCAACTCTCCTGCATGTACAGACAGTATAAGCGTGCTTCTTTGAAGCCTTTTAAGCTGATATGATAGTACCTTAGTGTGCCAGTCCTTTCCAATTACTGGCTGCCTATTTCCAATCACTTATATATTCCATCCAGGAATATACTGAGTTGGCTGCCATAATCCCGTACTCTGCATAGTAATACAGGGCTGAGTCATCCGATATTAAGAAGCAGATTTTGTTTGTATTTTCCACACATGACTTGATTTGCAGCAGCATTCTCAGTGTGCTATTTTCAAATCTTAGACCCCTGACACTATTTGATAAGCATTCCATATGGAAAGATACTGTACTTGCTGAATTAGCATTGAGTTTTGTACTCCCTATACACTAGTGAGGGGAGATAACAATGCAGTCAAAGCTGCAATTAGTCATTCTTTTAATTCTAGTGAAGACACATTTTGAGTAAATTGTCTTGGAGATTTCTCACCACTTGTAAAAAAGAGAAACCGTCGTTAATGAGATAATTAGTCGGTAACACAGCCATTTCTTTTCAGTGAAGGGTCGAAAGAATTCTAGATTTAGAATTTAAAACAAACATAGAGATATTCCATTACTTTAGCCGTATTGCACACTGTACTGTGAGCAGAAATAGAAAGTGGAATGATCCATAGAAAAGCAGATGGCATATAAACATTGATTTTAGAAGAACAAGCCATTAGCTGCATTGTGTAATGAAATATGTTTTAATTCCTTTAAGAGGAGCTATTGCTCCAAATGCCATGATAGGGTTTCTTCTCCTTGACCTCGTAAATGTCAACTGGGGAATACAGTGTTGTGTTTGTGAGTGTGTGTGTGTGTGTGTGTGTGTGTGTGTGTGTGTGTGTGTGTGTGTGTTCAGCTAATCCCCAACATGATTGGTTTGACCTGACACACTTTGGCTGGTATGCACGCTTTGCCATCTGAGTAGGGGCTTTTGTTTTCAGTGCACATGTGTGAAAAATGAGAACCACTTCAAAGTGAGATATTTGACCTTTGAAAAGTAACCCAAAGACATAAAGGTGGTTACTTTTTAGTTAATTTTACAGTTTAGAAAGTGCTGAACAATATGCAAAATAATAATATTGCCATTTATTTGACAGATATTGTGATATGAATCTAGATTTAAGTGAGAATGGTAATTTTTGTATTTCATTTTCACCAAAAAAAATAAAAAATAAAATGAAGATGATAAAGATGTGTCTGTACCAAACAAGAACGTTATGTCTGGGGAATATGATTTGTTGGCCGGGGGATCACAATGCTTCATTTCTAATGGTATGTTGTGACACATTTTATCTTTTTAAAAAACTTGCAGCTCCTGCTTTTTGGATACTGGGCCATATTGGATTTCCATATTGCGATTAATTGTTCAGCCCTAAGTTTTGGGGAAGAATTTGTTCAAGCTGTGTTTTGGCAGCAGCTGGATGTCATCTTATGAAGATCTGTAAGTGTGACTGTGAGAATGAATATCAATAAGATATTGACTATTGATGGCTTCAATCCGGATGTATTGATAGTGATATTGGTCCTTTAAAAAACATTCTTGAACTGTAGTATGCATACATACATGTCTTTGTGTGAGTGTATGTTTACGTGTGTGTGTAGCTTTCCTTTGCTGTGACAGAGATGTCGCGGTGAGCGATGACTGTGCCGCAGCAGAAATGATTGCCTTTACAGCAGCGTGTTGCTCTTCATCGTAGCTAAAAATAACCCTGCACCACAAGACAAGGAGGACAGAATGGAGGGAGCCTTTTTTTTCTCTCACTCATTATCCACCCTCCCTCGCTCAATCTAATTTTTTCTCTCCTTCATTCATTATCTACACTCTCACTGATTCTCTCTCTCTCTCTCTCTCTCTCTCTCTGTGTGTTTTTCTCCCTATCCTCTCTCTCACTCTCTCTTTCTCTTTCTCTGTCTGTCTCCAGCTTTAGGTTTCCATCACCGGGGCTCTGGCCCCAGTGAAAACAGGCCAGTCACAATGCAAGCTCAGCTTACAGCCTCAGCCCATGTGGCTAGAATTGGCTGTGTTTTTCTACAATTAAGTATGGGTTTTAAATATAGGCCCCCTTTTCTTAGTCCATGTGTTTTAAGAGTTTGCTGTTGAAGTTTGTGCTGTCCCCATAAAACCACAGAGAGCTCTGTTTTCTGCAGGGGGAAATGGGTGACGTGGAACGAACCAAGTTGTTTTATTTTCCAATGCACAAGACAGACAGACAGACCGACCAGTTGTTCATATTTTTAGAGCTTTGTACTGTTCAGAGTGATTTTATTTTCCCTCCCAGTAGGCTCTGGGCTGTTTGTGCCCTCCAGCAATCCCCACCCTGGAAATGTCGATTATTAAGCGGATTTGTCTCCTCATTTTCCTGCAGGAATTGTTTAGAGTTTTGTGGACTGACACTCAGGCAGGTGCTCGCTACACGTCTTTGTCGTTTGGATGAAAAATGCTCATAGGGCAAGTTGGCAGGCCTTTAAGCTAGAAGAGAGATGATGTCTAGAGGCTTTGTGGGTTTTTTTGAATTTAACTTAATATATACAGCATAATTTAGTGGATTATTTGGTGTTACCTTACACAGGGCAACCAGCAAACAATATTTTGCACACTCTTTCAGTGTTTTTGAATTCGACCATTTTAATGAAAAATTTGCATCAATTGATTTTCGTTTTACCACTCGGGGACAGCGCAATAAACTGTAAACACAGCATTGTCATATTATTACCTGAAGTTGTCATAATTAATGTGTTAACAACCAGTTGTCTAGAGCGTGGCCTCTCTGCATGCAGGCCTGCTTGAAGGCCTTACTGGGACACTTGATGGAACTTCAGCCATGGTTAGTGTTATTAATTACACCTGTGCTCTTCCTGCTATGACGAGTCAAAATGTCTGCTGTGAGAGAGGTCTACCAGCAGGTTTGACAGAAGTGAAAATGCATTTTAGATTTTAAATCAAACTGGACACAAATAAATGGAATAAAAAACGCACGGTTGGTCATGTTTTTCATTTGACCCAGAACCACTCCCAACACGGGAGCGGCAGACAAGCATTGACTTATAAATCACAGCTGTTGAACAGTGAAGGACGCTGAAGGACAGCGATCACTGTACTGTACTGTACTGTATCGAAATCTAATCATGTGAATCTAATCTGAAGAATACAAATCTAATTGAAATAAGATTCCCAGCTCTATTATATTCTCGTTACTGTCACTTATTCTAACATATGCAAGCAATGCTGCATTAAATCAAAGTGTTACCATAGATAACGAGTGGAGCACTGATTTCCAATAAGCATGTGGATAACTGGACCTTACAGTTCAGTTCTTGCTCAGTATACTGGTCTCAATACAGTTTGAACATATATATAGTGTGTTCCTTGATGTACTGTTATATAGGATACACACATACACACACACACACACACACACACACACACACACTTATGTGTGACTCAAACTCATGGACATGGTCCTTATGATGATGTAGAATATAGTGAAGTCATTTCCGAGAGGGGCAACATAACCGAGGTCCCCCACCATGATCCATGAGACAACCTGCTGAGTTCATCATTGGCATACCTGTGTGTGTGTGTGTGTGTGTGTGTGTGTGTGTGTGTGTGTGTGTGTGTGTGTGTGTGTGTGTGTGTGTGTGTGTATATGTGTGCATATTGCACATTTTGCCTAGCCTTGCCTACCTCATTTCATTAACTGCTCTCTGGGGATTGACCTCAGCATATACACACACACATACACACATACACATAAATCTTCCATTTCTCTTACTTTAGTGGATGTTAGCCATAGCAGACAACAGAGTCCACTTAATGAGGCCTGCTCCTCCTCTTCCTCCCCTCCTCTCATGTCTCTCACTTGCCCTCTCCCTTTTTTCTAAACTGTGCCTCTCTCCATCTTTACCACTGAGAGTGTGATGGATGGCATAAGGGGTGAAGAGGAGAAGGACAGGAGGGAGGAGGAGGAGGAGGAGGAGGAGGAGAACGGTAATGGGCAGAACTAAGTTAATAGCCCAGCTAGAAGAGCAACATGCCTGCTAGTGGTGCCTGAAAAATTTAATTAGCCTTAGCCGCAGCTCCAGTCCCAGTCCCATTCCTGGTCCCAGTCCCTCCAGCCCTCACATGCAGGTATCACAGAGAGGGGGTGTAGAAGAAAGAAAAAGAAGTGAATAGAGAAACAGGAGGGTAACATTTGCTTAATACTCCGCTCACAACTTGTCTCCTCTGCTCCTCATCTTGTCATTTACTCTGACGAATACACACACACTGTTTTGATCTAAGCGGTGTTGGGTTATGTCAAGCTCTGACAACAATCTGACAAATCCAAGCTGTCTGTTTGTGGCAATAAATGATTGAAGAGGCAAGTAACAATGCACGTGTTCAACATGCCTTGTGGCTGGATTGGTTTTACAACAAAGACAACAAAGCCAAATCACAGGTTTATGGGAAAACATAGTGAAAGATTGTTGCTACATGTATAACAGATCACAGTGTTTTTCCTCTGAAGTTTTTCCTATGCATTTTATTATTTAAGGAGATTGAAGCATAGCATATGTATACGAACTTCCTCAGAGATATTTTTATAGCTGAATGAGCTCTGTTTACAGGAATATATCACAATATATTTTACAGCATTCATTTTATTACATGCTGCTTTTTAGAT